TTTCTTTTCTTTTTTTCTTTTACTGTTACGAACAATTCTTCAGCCAATAACCTTGTATAATTTGCATCTGTTCAAGTATGTCTATAGGATAAACTCTTCAAAGTGGGATTTCTGGGTCAGAGGGTATGTGTGTTTATAATATCAATGGACATTGTCAACCCCCCTGCAGAGAGGCAGTACTGGTTTTCCCTTGAACCAGCAGTGTCAGAAGGTGACTGAGAGCCCCTTAAAAAGATGTTGCCTGCAGGTCCCCACCTGGGCAAGAGCCTAGACTCCCTCCAGTCACCCCACAGATCCTGAGCACAGGCTGCCAGTGGGTGAGGCCTTCTTGTGGGCCAGACCCTTAATCTTTTGCTTCCTAAACTTGCTTAATTATCAGAATCACCTGATAATGAGTGATGCTTGAAATACAAATTCCTGGGCCTCCTCCCAAACTCGCTTTATGAGAATCTCCAGGGGAGATCCCGGTATTTGTATTTTTAATAAGCTCCCCAGGTGATGCTTCTGATTCTGGCAGATCTGGTACACGCTGATTAACACAGTCTTATTTAATCCCCCCTCCCCACCTGCCCTCCCACTTGAAGGTCATTATTCCCATTTAAGAGGTGAACAGATCAAGGTTCGGAGTTGAGTGGTCCCAGAGAGAGTCAGGAAGCATCCGCCCTCTGCAGCTGCTGAGACCTCATATGTACTCTTGCTTTGTGTTTGCTTTTAGGAGCTCCCATCTCATGGGGCCTGTGGCTTGGCTGCTCCCTGATGGTTCTCATGGCCAAGCCCCTGTGGTGAGTGGCTTCAGTGCATTGCCCCATGGTGCTGCAAGCAGCCGGCCAAGGTGTGTAGAGACACAGGATGCTTCAGACTGTGGGAGAGCCCTACCTGAACCCAGAGCCTCAACTAGGGCAGTGACACCCCAGGGCCTTGACATTTAAAAGGCACCAAAAGGAAAAATAATTGTTAAAAATGATGTTGCAGAATTTTAAGCCAGCCTGTGTTCTCAGCAGGGAGCCCTTCTCTGTCCTGCTTCAGCCTCTTTTATTTTCCAGCTTGGAGACAGAGGAGCTTTGGGGAGGGAACGGTGCTTTCTGTTGGCAGCATGAGGACCTCACGTGCAGATTCCTGCCCTCCCTCCAGAGAGAAGCCGGAGAGAGGTGGGAGCAGGAAAAGGCGTTGTTGTAGCCAGGGCCTGATCTGGTTTCTGCTCTGGCTTAATTTCACTTCTTTGGAGCTCCAGGCTGCATTGGATTTCTCTTTCTTCAACATTTAGCAGAGCTGAAATAAATGAATCCCTCAACAGAAGCCAATATTCCTGCCTGATTGCTGGGGCTAATTGATGTGTTGTGGGCATCACATTGCTTGGAAATTAAAACATTTAACATGGCTCAACATTAAATCAATTTTTAAATTCATTTTCCAGAATGCCTTCCATTTCCTTGGGAATCAGCTGAATGAAGGTTGTGGAGTTATCAGTTAAGCTTTCAAAATATTCCTTTTTAAAAATAATTTTGGTGGGGGTGGTGGCTCTTCTTGTTTTAAGTTGGTTTGGGGGATTGGTTGAAATGAAAAAGGTACAGTGGGTAAGTTGGCCACCGATGTGGTTCTGAGCAAACTGAGCAAACTTAGCCCCCTGGCACAATCCTTCTGGGATGAAGTTCCTTCTGGGATGCAGTACCTTCTGGAAATTGCCAGGGTGCCCTCGGCCTTAGGTGTAGGACATCAGAGCTGAGGAAAGGGGGACAACAGGGGTATTTGCCACCTCTCAGGTGTTACGCCTTTGCAAAGACAGCAGTCGAAGCTGCTTGGCTCAGCATTCCTCAGTTGGCAAGTGTGG